GAAAAAGTCATTTGTTTATTATTTGTAATCGGACAATAAACTATCTGAAGAAAAATAAGCGAAAAAAAATTTTAATATAGCAAAAATAACTGACATTTAACATTACAGATGGCAACGAGAAGTTGTTATAATATTATAACAGAATTATAGAAAAAAAAAACAAAGTTTTTAGCCGAAAATATTTTATTCGATTTTTTTTTTTTAATTTCAAATGTTGCTTCGCTGTTTCTTTGCTCCATTCTTTGAAGTCAACTGCTGCAGTTTGCAGCATAAATTTTGTGAGAATATAAATAACAAAGAATAATTAGTGGGAATGAATTTTGTTTTTACCTATGCTGCCAAAACTGTAAAAAAATTGAATTCTGGAATGACCACCACCAATTAAGTCAATTCAACTTTTTGTTTTTAGCACCTATAAAGCCGTCAAACTGTTGACAAAGGAAAACAAACAAGAAAAAAAATTTTTTTTCTTTTTTGTTTTAGATTTATCTGTTTGATCAAAGAAAAATTTGGACGACCAACTGCTGTATTAACATTGTATTACAAGTTTTCAGTACAGTTGAACATAGTTACGAATTTTCAACATATAACATATAACAGAAAAAATTTGAATTGCGTACGGATGACAAAAAAACACAACAAAACAAAACTAAATAAGATATAAGCATCGATCTTAGACAATTTTATCAGACTTATTAGTATTATTACTTTTTTTTCCTTAATCCCATTTTTTCTACAGTCGATACATTTTAAGCTGCTACTGAGGATCAAATAATACCCATTGTTCGCTTAAATTGTTTCCCTTAAATTATTTATTTGCAATAAGTTTTGCTTCCCAGTACAAAATTGTTGACTAAATGAATTATGGAATTATTGGATAATCAGACTTCCTCTAAAGTTGACACTGTTGCATCATCTGTTGAGTTCAAATCTGGAAGTCGAAAGATACGCATATTGCAGTCGTCTAATCGAAGACATCTGCAAGAAGGTACAAGTAATTATTTTGCTTCATTTTGGCTATAATCATGTAAGCAGTAAAAGAAAAAAAACACAGCAATGGTTAGCTGAATTGGATATATATTTTGAATACTGAATTGGGTATACTAAAAACTATATTTTGACGGCTTATCATAAAGATGTGGAAGCAAAAACTAATGCTTACGCAAATTTAATTTCATCTCCGGAAACTGTTCCATCTGCAGCAACCTGAACACCATCTCCAGTTACACAATTTTGTACTCTAATTTCACCTTCTGGAGTACAAGTTTTATTAACACTTTGGTCTTCCAACCAAAATGAACCTAAAATTTCTTAAATGAAGAAAAAGAAACCATTTTAAGAAGACACTAAAGCCTCAAATAAAATGGCTAACATAAGCACTTACCAGGTGCATGTTCGGAGCCCACTGAATCATAACACTTCAAGTCAGTTTCTTCAGGTAATAGACCAAAATATTTACTATTATATTTGACATTTCTATTTATATCCTGCATGCATCTAAACAATCAGCATGAATAACAACAGTTGCGTGACGAATATTCAGAATGGAAAAGGTGGTTTTTCCATTCGCAACTAAACGTCACTTATACTGCTGTACAAATTTTAGAATGTTTATTAGCCAGAAAAATTAAAGCATACTTTAATGAGATGTTTTGGTAATTTGTCGAGAGGTATGATGATATTCTTGATCTTTAACCATTTCTGTAGGTAGATGTAACTTTTTCGAGAATATTTTGTTGACCAGAAGAAAAAAGCAACAAAATCATTTCAACTGAAATGACGCAAACTCACTTACGAGTAATACGTGTCATTTATGGTAGCCTCACTGTTTACGGGTAATTGTAACCCAAATGGTGTAATGCAGTTTAAGACTTCAAAAAATCCAGATTCTGTACAGGTTATGTTAAAATGTTGTCCTTCGATCCAATGGCTTCCTAGAATAGTAGAAAAAAAAAATCAATTTTACGTTTTCTACAACGAATACGCTTTACTGTTTAAACTTTAAATTACATACCCATGTAATGACCTAAACCGTAATCATTTTCACATCTTAAAGCGTCTTTTTCTTCCAGATTTCCTACACCATCAGGTCGTAATGTACATCTAAATTAAATCCACGTTTTTACAACTATTACAAATTCTTATTAGACACTAATTTTGATACTGTTTTCTCCAATAGAGATTAAACGTAACAATAAACATGTTCAAATCTTCATTACAATAAAAAAATAGCAAAAAAATAAATACAGTATTTTTAAGCTAAGGAAACTTTCAAAAACTGTTAAATTTCATTTTTTACTCTTCTTTCAAGCGATTTTATACACTAAGAAGGTAGAATTCTATTACGAACACATAAGTTATCCGTTCAACAGTTATAGTTGTGTTCATCGGAATTCGGCTTCCGTCTGCCGTAAGACAATTTTCATAAGTTATAACGCCAGCAGCTGTACAAGTTTTGTTGAATCGACCACCAGAAATCCAGTATGATCCTGGAATTTTAGTTAGCACAATTAAAACTTAACCTTATTTAGAGTATCATACAAAAGGAACTGTGAATTCAAAATATAATCTTAATTATTAAATAAACTTTAAAGTCTAAGGATAACCAATATTACTTCGCTGATAAATAATACTAACGCAAACAATAGAATAGTAAAACATAAATAATCATTGAAAATAACACGCAATTTGAACATTCAGAGATTTTTTTCCTTTAACCGAGTCAGTTACAAAATTTGTCTTTCACATTCGATAAGCATACAAAAAACTTTACCAACACTGTGACTAAAACCACGAGAATCTACACACATAGTCACATTTTTTCTTCGTAATACCACCGTAAAGCCGCCGACATGTTCACACCTATTAAAAATTACTAGTCACCCTGTTATAAGTTCAAGTTAAAATTTACTTTTATACGAAAAACAATTGTTTGCAAAAACTTTTTTGTTTCTCTTCTTGATGACACTAATATCTTAGTTGTAAAGAAAGGCAGCCACAAACAACTAACTTGACAACTTCACCATGAAGCCTTATCAAAGAATTCAGTGGGATTGTTCTGTAGTCTGAAGTATAACAATATGGAGGTAATTCTCGGCCACGTTGTCCGCAATCATCTTTAGTCCATACATTTT